CCTGCCCCACAGAACTTACAGTCTAAGTGTGCAAGACAAGGCAGGAGAGAGAGCAAAGGCAACCAGTTAGAGCTTACTGGTTACCCTGGTGGGCAATGGCTTCAGTATGCCAGGAGCCAGATTTTATTCCACCTATTAGATCAGCCACTCTCAACCAGGATTCCGCAGCACCCTGGGGTGCCTTGAGATCCTTTCAAGGGTGTTGCAGTTTGCCATGCAATATTATCACTGTTGGGTGTGCAGATGCGATTCACAAGATAAACCCAGAGATTTTAAATAGAAATTCATAGTGTTAAAACATTGTGACTGGTTGTTGTCTTTCTGAGGTGTTGGCAACTGAAGAATTGCTCTATTACAGGGGTATTCAAACTTTTATAAAAAGTTCTGACTCACAGTTTCAGGTCCTGTACCCTCTTATATTTTTTTCTTGTTTTTAAGCGGGGGAATAAATTGAGGCCACCGTGGTGTGGGAGGGAGTGAGGCTGGGGCAGGCGCTACACAGCCTGGCCAGGGTGGTGTGCGGGACAGAGCTATGAATAGCTCATCTGGGGGGGTGTGGGGGTGGCTTCCGCTGCTGTGTGCACCTCAGGAGGGCATGGGAGGCATGTGCCCCTGGATCTGCGTGGGGTAGGCAGGGCTGGTCCAGTGGTGGGGGAGGGAGTGGGGCTTGGGCAGGGGCTGCCCTTCTGGGGCAGGGCGTGGGACTGAGCCAAGTGGAGGGGGGAGGGCGCTGCTACAGCCCCCCTCCCCCCAGGAGGGCATGGGGGCATGTGCCCCTGGATCTTCATGGGGCAGGCTGAGGCCTGTGGCCGGGGTGGCACCAGGCTCTTCCCAGTGGGGGCTGGGCTAGGCTGTGCTTGGGGCGGGTGGTGGTGGCACTGGGAGGGAACAGCCCGGTGCAGCCTCGCCCCACATGCAGATCCAGGGGCATGTGCTCCCCATGCCCTCCCAGGGTGTGCATAACAGCGGCGCTGGGAGTGGGGGCCAAATGGGAGAAGAGCTCAGATGTGGCAGCTGCCACCCCTGCTGGCTATTGGCTGCGAGCAGCGGCTCAGTGGCCAGTCAGAAGAGTGAGCTGGGGTGGGTGGTGGGGAAGCGCTGCGATGTGTCATGTGGGGCCAGTGGTGCCCAGTGTGCCCCTCTCCCTCCCCCGGGTAAGAGGCAAATGCGCTGGGGTAGATGCCACCGCCGCGCCCTGGGGCATGCCCTGTCCCCACCTGCATGTACCCCTGAAGACCTTTCTAAGTATCCCTGGGGGTACACATGCCCCAGTTGACAACCCCTGCTGTATTATTTTTACGTAGTCAAAAAGAACAGTGAAAACTAAGTGCTGTCATTTTCTGAAGTGTGTCTTGAGCCTAACAAAGGGCATTTTGAGTCCCAAAATGTTGAGAACCAGTGTATTAGATGCATAAGTGAACTTTGGCATCTCAGTGGGATTCCATTCCAGCCTAATAGAGTCCCTGGGAAACAGTTAGTGCAAAAGATGGGTGGGTCCTCTTCCCCTTTGCTGCTTTGTTGACCTAGTCTTAAGGGTAAGATGATAGTGTGTTACAAAAGTAGAGGCATTAAAGGATTTTCAGGATGTGAACAGGATGGAATAGAACCACACTTAGGCACCCAAGTCCACTTAGATGTCTAATAGGCTGAAAAGAATTTGACTTCAGGAGCCAAACCAATTTTTGGAGGTGTTATGGCAAAGGAGAGCAATGTTATGAGTTACAGCTTGTATTGTAGAGGAAGAGACAGGCAAATACAAGCTTCTAGTTCCTGTTAATCTCTCTGAGCCAAATAGCAAATATCATCCAGGTCTCTGTTCAATGCATATCTGCAGGTGGGGGAGTAGGAATTGTTTTCAGCTATTTACAAGGTTCTGATCTAAATTATGCCACTGCTGAGAAGATGAGTCACTGACAGTGGCTATAGGCCATCTTCAGACACACACGGAGCATCTGTATGATATGTTTTAATGCTCAGTAGACTAATCTACTGTGCGGTAAAGTATCACCATCTACATGTACACAGCATTTACTGCACAGTAAATTAGTCTACTGAATGGTTGGCTACTACCTGTAGATACAGGTAGTAGATCAACCATGCAGTAGCTACTGCACAGTAGTACATGTGTAGACAGCTGACTAGGAGCAAATTCCTGCAGGTTAGTCCAGGCAGCAGGTGGTGGGGAAACTGTCTGCTCCTGGGCACAGAACTGGGAAACAGCTGCTGGGGGAGGAGAAACTTTCTCAGCCCCACCCACCAGAGCCCAGGCATGAGTTTGGTGTCCCCTGCCAATCTGGGGCTGGCACCTGGAGGAGCCTGGAGTAGAGTAGGTTAGCAGTAGCCTTGCGCTGAACTGCTCCCATCAGGAGCAAATTTGTTCCTAATAGGCGTTTGTGTAGATGTGCTCCCAGGGAAAGTTTACCATGTAGTATTTTACTGTGTGGTAAGCTTACAGTGCATTAATAGCATGTGTAGATGCATCCACAGACAACTATCAACTTCATTATGATCAGAAGTAACCTCTTTGTGGGGTGTGGAGCATTTGCTTGAATCTGCTGGCTATGAAGTGGGAGTGGAGTAGGAGTAGTGTGTGTAGCATTTAGTTTAACCACAGATGAAAAACATTTCTGTCGTAAGCAGAAATCAGCCTGGCACAACAGCACCTTGATAATTTAGTGTCTAAAAATAATTCCCAGGTTGTGGGAGCTTCATGACACCCTGTGTGTTGTTTGATGGCCTGGAAATCCTGCAGGCTCAAAACAGCCATTCGTAGACACCAGTCTCAAACTTCATAACCCATATGTAGCGTAATGTAATGACGGTACTTGACCATTGAAGTAGGCAGCTGCAAAGAAGGCCTTTTGTGTAATCCTGGGTTTTTTCTGGATGAGGATAATGGTTTTCTGCAGTGAAAAGAGCCAGAATAGAAAACTAATGAGACTGGGCAGATTTCTCAGGTCTGAAGGTGAAATGTAATACTTAAAAACCCAAACTGTGTGGCCAGATTCTGCTACTGTTATGCATTGTGAGTCATCCCTGACATATACAAATGCCACACTGGAGCAGGTGTTGATGTAATCATTTAGAAAGACATGGATTGAATGCTTACATATGAATGTAATTACTAACACCTCTTTCTGACACTCATCCTGACATTCTCTGAACTGAGCAGCTTATAGAAGCCATAATAAAAATAAAGGTTTCTTGCCATAACATGAAATCCCACATAATTATCCACAATATTTTAGAATAGGTATGTTCCATTTCCAGTGGTAATGTTTATAAGCCAAAATGTCCAAAATTTCTCTCCCTACAGGTTAGACATTGTTGCTTTTATCTCTGTGAAGAGAAAATCCCTTGCTTAGCAAGGAGAGTCAGATGTTTCTTCCATTGCTGGAAGCACCGTAGATATTGGACAGTTTTGATTCGAGAGTAACTATTTGAAGTCACAATTTAAAAGCTACTTTGCAACTGTTAGTTCATATTTTTAATTCTTTCTCTCTGAGAAAATATTGAGAACATTTTATGAACACACAGTAGGTGTCTACACATGCAAATAATCTGGGTGTAATTTACTTTTGAGTAAACTCTCCCAAGCACGTGTCTACATGTGCAGGGATGCAGGAGCAGATTTGCTGCTCCTAGCAGCAGACTGCTCCTACTCCCTGCTGCCCCTGCAGCAGCTAGGGGGAACTCTAGGCTCCATCTGGGTACTAGCCCAGGGTCCAGGAGACAGCCGTTTCCTGGCAGGGGCTGGGATATTGCTCCCTGCCCTTGGGAGCTGCCTGCTGCCGAGGCAGGCTTCACCACTGGATCCTGGTAGCAGGGACCTCCCAGCCCCTGCTCTGTGATCACTGGGCCCAGGCTGAGAGATAAGGTTCACCTGGTCCTGGCCCCACCATCGTGGAGTGTGGGCTGGGAGCTCCCTGCTGCTGGGCCAGGGGGACATTGTCCCCACTCAGGCTCTGGCGGCAGAGCCCACCCCAGCAGCAGGCAGCTCCTGGGGGCAGGGCGCAATCTCCCACTCCCTGCTGCCTGGCTGATTAGGAATATATTTGCTCCTCAGACGTCTACACGTGCATTACTGCGCAGTAAGTAATCTGAAGTAATTTTGCCACTTGCATTTGCAGGTATCAAATTTACTCACGATTAGAGCCAAATACTGTGCTGTAAGTGTCTGTGTGTGTAAATGTGGATGCTTACTGCACGGTAATTAGCTCTACTGCACAGTAAAGCATCTCATGTAGATGTGCCCATTATGTATAAAATACAAGATGCCATTCTGGACTATGGACTGACTTTTACTGGTATTTGTTTGGGAATCTGCCATCCATGAGTAATGTGACTGTCCCACATTAGTGCTAGCAAAAGCTTTATACAAAGCCCTTTATTGTACTTCTTTTAGGGGTGTGTGTGTGTGTGTGTGTGTGTGTGTGTGTGTGTGTGTGTGTGTGTGTGTGTGTGTATAAATGTGTAAAGCCTTGTCTTTAGCTGATGTGAATTTGTTTGTGACAGCTAAGGATATAGTCCATAGCAATATCCCTTGGTTAATCTTTGACTAAGCTCCCACACCATTCAATCAGGTAATATTTCAGCTCAGTGTATTACGGTAGGTTAGGAGAAGGGAAAACTTTTTTTGATTTATGAAATAACAGGCTGTTTATTGGATTGCCAGCATGAGGTGTCCCTCCAGTCTTCAGAAGTGTTTAGAGAAGCGATATATACAGAATCATTGCTTCTGTAGTAAACTCTAGAAATAACTCATTTCCTATTAGAGAAAATAAAATCTCTCCTGCTAATTTTTAAAAGTATTGATTTGACATGACAATAAGGTGAGTGATTCTTTCCAGCCCTCAGTTCTGGTGTCTTCCATCTCTCCACCCTTTTGGGTTATTAATCCCTCCATGCTTGGGATTTAAGAAATAATAATAGAGTAGAATGGGCCCTTGGAAATTCAGTTTTCTTTCTCTCTGATTCCTTTTGCTTTCTTATGGTCCTAGGAAATGCAAGTAAAGGCAAATCCCATACAGGATCTGGGCGGAAGTCCAGGCTGATGAAGACAGTGCAGAATATGAAGAACTATGGGAACTACCAGAACTGCACCATTGTGAGGCCTCATATCCCACACTCCAGTTATGGCACCTATGTGACACTGGCTCCCAAAGTGCTAGTGTTCCCTGTCTTTGTGCAGGTAAGCTGGTCCTTCCTGGGCACATCTGGAAACTACCTGACCAGAGAGTGACAGAACTGACCACAGTGTCTTGCAACAGGGCTTGCTGCTATAAGTTGTAGTGGTTACTCTCAACACTGTCATTTAAGGGGGAGAAATTCCCGCTAAAGAACTGGATTCCTAGTCATTTCCAGCTTCCTCCTATATTCAGCATAGTATCTGATTCATTCTCTGCGGGGAACTGTGCCCTGCCCATGTAAATTCCAGTGAGACATTGCCACTTCTCATTTCTGTAATTTACATGATAAAAGGCTAGTTTTCTGCCTTTGGTCTTTGAGGGCACCTATACATGTGCCTGATGCCTGCTCCAGTGAGTGCTAATTAGATTATGCAGTGTCCTTGTGCTTCAAAATGGCGGTGGGGCGCTTTAACTAAAGCTTGGTGAACGAGCTTTAGTTAAAGCACGCCTGCCGCCATTTTGAAGTGCGGGATGCTGAATACATGAGATGCAGGCGGTTTAATTAGACTGGTTCCCTACCCCGGAGCACGTGTAAAGATGCCCTGAATTCCTGAGCCAGTTGGTGGAGATCTGACCATTCATATTTGAGCTTAAACCACTTGGTTCTCATTATGCAAGGTACAGAGCTACGATACAGCTTCTGCCTATAGCTGAAGGGTCACCGAAACTAATTTAGTTATGCCACTTGACAACCCTCAAATCAAACCATATTAAGAGGGGCATCAGGGTATAAGGGGATTGTGGGGTGAAAGAGGGGGACTCTACCTTCTCAATTCCAAAAAAATAACTGTCTCATAATTTAGATATGATTTAGTGGGAATAGCTGGTTTGGAGACTCCTGCTCTGTTCTTAGTGCCTCCTGCTTGGATATTGTATATGGCCAGATCCTCAAAATGGAAAAGGCCTGGATTTGACCCCAGTTTTGACATAATTCTGTATGTGCAGATAAGTCTCCCACACTGTTAAAAACAACTGTATCTCTCAGAGATTGTTCTACTTCCATGTGCCTGGTTTTGCTAACGCTAGTCCAGCTGCACCAATGCATAACAATAGGATTTTTTCAGATTTTTCAATTTTTTGTAATGTAGACAAATCTTTAGAGAACATAGTGAAGGTGAATAGCTGTGTGGCATCTTGAGAAAGGTGACTATAGCCAGAATGATGAAAGAGAAGGTAGTCAGATCCTCAGGTACTATATGAAGTCATCTTCTCCAGGTGGAGTTCAGAGCTATAGGCTTAATTCAGAATGACATTTTGAAAGTACTCTTCTTGTGGACCCATTGCAAAGGTTCTGGGGTGAAACCTGCCAGTAATTTCCACTATCTGATTTTTAAAACCAGTTTCTTTCTATATCACTGTCTTGCCTGACACAACCACTGATCCATTGTGAAGTGCATGGTTTAGCTGAATTCATCGTGCTCCAGCAGTGGTTGCATTCATGACTTAAGAACACAGTAGGGATTCTGTGGTTGTTTTATTGCCTTTCCAAAATAGTGATTCTTGGTTTGACTCTATAATGTTCCCATAATAATGTTTTTGCTGACATTTGTGAGATTGTATTTATTGAGCTCAGCTTTTTTGGCTTTGTTTTACAAAATTTCATTGTGTAAGCTCTCAAGTTGTATCCTAGTCGCATCCAATCACATGCCCTTACGAATTCTCTTTTGGATGATGTCATCTGAGAGCTGTTTTTGCACTTACTGTACGGTAATCAGGGCAATCAATGTTTGTTCAGTTCTTCAGTTAATTTAGTGTCAAACTGAGTTGTCCCAAAGGTTTAGCTTTGTAGCCCAAGGTCCACTGCAGCCTGGAAGGAGAGAGGAGATGCTTCTCAGGGCCTTTTCATCTTTCTAATGAAATGAATCAATTACAAATGTGTAGCCACCCCTGTTCTTGTCTGAAGGTACATGACAGTTTGATGGGCTACTGTTGTGGTTGGGCTTCCTGCTCAATGAGCGGACATCACCGAGCCCACACTTTGCAGAATTAATGTACAAAGAAGCAGAAGCAGCTGATAGTCTTTTTATAGCTCCACATGACGTAGGTGTTAAGTGTAAGGCTTTTTTTTTTTCCCTTTTATCGCTTAGCTGGACTGCAGACTTTCCATCCTTGAGAGTTGTGCAGTTGTAAGGTACCTTCTGATTGTTTCACTTCTAGTGGTTTTCATACTAAGCTGAAGATGAAGTGTATTTGATGGGTGGAATTGAATTTTCATAGCAAGCCTTCTCCTTGTGAGTTAAAGTTTTGAATCCTTTTTTTTAACCTTTAAATCTTCAGCCTCTTGATCTTTGCAACCCAGCACGGACTCTTCTTTTGTCAGAGGAGTTGCTGCTTCATGAGGGCAGAAGCAAAACTATAAAGGTGAGATTTTCTGTTGCTTTTAACATGGGTACTGAGCTGATGCTTTCTGAATATGTTTTCGCACCTTTTAACATGCTAGATTGAAAGTGTAAGTGTTTGACTTTTAAATGCCTTTATTACAGTGAAATTCAGAAAACCTTATAGCCAGTTTACCGTGATAAACTAAATGCCACAGCTTGGCAATTGCTAGAAATCTTTTCTTTCCCTCGTTGTCTCTGATGTCAGCACAGATAGGACTGTATAGGGCAAATCCAGTCACTTGCCTAAAAGCCAGAGTTTTTTTCCCTCTGCATATTTGTCAAGTCAGGATCAGGCTCACAGGACTGAGGGGATGAAAGGGAAGATTGCAAAATTGGGTTCCATAGAAGCCAGGCATAGCCTTTGCTACAATTCTCTTTGTAGGTCTAAGACATGAGAGGGGAAACATGCCATCTCCTTAACGCCTTTCTCCTTTTGCCTGCTGCATCTTGTTTCCCTTCAGCATTATCAGAAGGGACATGTAAAGTCTTGGCAAACAGGTCAGGCCTACTTATGTTTCAACAGAAGCCATAACATCCAAACCAAAGGAATATGGTGATTTTTGGTTGACATTATTTGCCTTTGTTTGGATCCAAAGTTTAGGGGTTGCAGAAAAGAAGTACTTGAGACTAAAATTGCAATTCCTTTCAACTTCTGTTGAGGCACTGGAACCTGGGAGCTTCGTTGGGATCCTGCCTCTGCCTATTACAAAAGTGTGGGGCTTACTACATTTTGTCTTACATGACCTTCCTTGAAACCCATTGTTAGGCAGGGTACCCTTTTTTTTCCTGCCCATTTAACATAAGTATCATGATTTGTTAGACCATGATTTGTTAGACCAATACTGTTGTGTCCATGGAGCCAATGAAGAGCTTTACACTTACTGTCCAAGTACTTATTATATAATATATTTTTGTGTGGCTGGTTGTAGAATCCCAGGACACACCACCTCATTCCTTCCTGTTCAGTGGCATAAAACTGTCTAAGTATGCTCACTCACATATATGTAGTTTTGTTTCATTAAGTGACTGATATTTCTTTGTGGTTTCCAGAATATATAAGCCCTTTGATTTGCTTCACTGGTCTCCCTATGAAAGTAAATGGAAAATATGTCATTCGTTTGGGAAAGTTGTCGCTGATTTGCAAATAAAGTACTCTCTCATCTGCCCCGATACCCTTTACAACCCTGAGACTTCTAGACCTAAATATTCCCCAAGGAACCCTCAGATAAGCATAGATCTGTGTGAAATCAAATAGGCACAGCTTTGTGAGTGTAATTTCTTCGTGATGGTTTGGAAATATTGTGGCATTTCCCTCCATGGAGAAATGTTTAATTGAAGTCATGGTGCTCATTGTAGGCCACTTTCACTTGTTTAACTTCAGATGTGCTTCAGAGGTTAGTAGAAGCAGTAAAATGTAAGATAACTCAAGTCACTGTAGTTGCTATGTCAGGCTTGTGAGGGAGACAATGAACTGGGAACAGTAATACATAGACACACATAGATGGGCATGTTGGGATTTTGTTATTTAGAAAAAATATGCTGTTCTGTCACTTACGTCAAGTGATGTTATTAAACATTTTGAGAACACTGCTGCAGACATCAGAGATGTTTCAGAATGAGGACATTGAAGTTTCATGATGTCCAGGCAATGGGTGCGGGACTGAAAGAGGACATCAAAGTTGGTGGTGTCTCCATGGTCAGGGACTGTAGCACTCTGACCATGAGCATGACAGAGATGGATGGGAGGAGTGCTGGGCTTGATGCCATAATATCTATGTATATCGGGCCATGGGGGAAAGGGCAAGGGATATAACTAGGAACAATAGATAAATAAGAGTATGAGGTGAGAGTGAGCCCACAGTGGCATCTAGAAGTGGTCCTGAACCTGCATTACAGAAATAAAGGAGAATCCCAGTGAGTAGCATTTAGACATCACTTAGCCTCCTACGGTATGGCTTTCTCATGTGGCATTTGGGAGGACTGCTTTTCTAGAACTTTGCAGGGCAGGAAACACACGTTCTGTGTTCTCTCTGGGAAGTTGGAGATCTTTCTTCCCAGTGGAACAGAGGCATTTGCTTTAGACCCTGGTATCTTATAAGACACTGAATCTAAAACCTTTGAAGTCAACATACTGTACAGTGGTATAGAATCATGGGGTTGCAAGGGATCTCCAGGGTCATCCAGTCCAAGCTCTGAACAGATGTTCGACTTGGTGTTCCTAGACCATCCCAGACAGAAGCTTAATAGTGTATTCTTGAAAACCTCCAAGTGCAGGGCATGCCACAGTTTCCCTAGGCACTTTGTTCCATTGTCCTATGCCTCTTACAGCTACAAAGAGCTGAGTAAAGTTGTTCTTTTCACCCCTTGAGTCTCACATAGAAAAACTCTGGTTAATGCAGCTGCAAATGGCATTTTCTTCCCCCCACCCAATAGATCACAGTGTTGTCTTATGTTGGTTTGTGATTCAGTACTGTTACCTAGCTATTGATCCCCCATTCTGCATTTGTCCATTTGGTTTATCACAGAATTGTAGAAATTTAGGGTTGGAAAGGACCATAGGAGGTCATCTAGTCCAACCCCCTGCTCAAAGTAGGACCATCCTGAACTAGATCATCTCAGCCAAAACTTTCTCTAGCTGGGTCTTAAGAACCTCCAAGGATGGAGATTCTACCACCTCTCTGGGTAATCTGTTCCAGAGTTTTACTACCCTCCTAGTGAGAAAATTCTTCCTAATATCTAACCTAAATTTCCCTTGGTGCAACTTCAGACCATTGCTCCTTGTTCTGTCATCTGCAACCACAGAAAACAGTCCCGCTCCATCCTCTTTCAAACCTCCCTTCAGGTAGCTGAAGGGCAGGGGCGATGCATAGGGGGGGCATGGGGTTGCATGTGCACCCCCTGAGAGCACTGGTGTACCCCCTGTCAGGCTGCACTTCCTGTTTAGCCGGTGGGCAGAGGGACAGGCGGGAGCACTAATCCCCCCCCGCGAGCACCAGCTGGGGAGCAGGGCCACCAGCAAAAGCGGCCGCACTGCTTCTGGAAGCGCTGGGGGACTTCCAGAAGCAGTGCGGCCACTTTTCCTGTGAGTGAGATCAGCCGCAGCTAGTGGGATTGGCCGCCAGGGGACACCCTCCCCCCCAGGCACTGACTGGTGTCGGGGGAGGAGGGGAGCACATGCCCCACCTTGACTCACGAGGCACCAGACACCCATGCTGAAGACTGCTATTAAATCCCCTCTCAGGCTTCTCTTCTCTAGACTAAGTAGGCCCAGTTCCCTCATCCTCTCCTCAGACGTCATGTGCCCCAGTCCTCTAACCATTTTTGTTGCCCTCCACTGGACTCTCTCCAATTTGTCCACATCCTTTCTGTAGTGGTGTCATTTGCAAACTTGCTGAAGGTGCACTCTCTACCATCTTCCAGGTCATTGATGAAGACATTGAACAAAACTGGCCCCAGGACCAGCCCAACTAGATATTGAGCCATTGATTACTACTTTCTGAGCCCGATACTTCAGCTAGTTTTCTATCCACCTTACAGTCCATTCATCCAGCATGCACTTCCTTAGCTTGCCTGCAGGAATGTTGAGGGAGACCATATCCAAAGCCTTGCTAAAATCAAGGTATATCACATCCATTGGTCTCCCCATGTCCACAGAACCAGTCCTTCTGTTATAGAAGGCAATCACGTTGGTCAGGCATGATTTGCCCTTGGTGAATCTATGCTGACTGTTCCTAATCACCTTTTTCTCCTCCAAGTGCTTAGAAATGGATTCCTTGAGGATCTGCTCTGAATTTTCCAAGGACTAAGGTGAAGCAGACTGATCTGTAGTTCCCTGGATCCTCCTTTTTCTCTTTCTTAAATATGGGCACTATGTTTCCCTTTTTCCAATCATCTTGGACCTCTCCTCATCACCATGGGTTTTCAAAGGTGAAGGCTGGTGGCTCTGCAGTCTCATCAGCCAACTCCCTCAGCATCCTCAGGTGAATCTCATCTAGCCCGATGGACTTGTATATGTCCAGCTTTTCTAAATAGCCCCTAACCTGTTCTTTTGTCGCTGTCAGCTGTTCATTTCCTTCCCAAACTGTGCTGCCCAGTGCAGTAGTCTGGGAGCTGACCTTGCCTGTGAAGACTGAGGCGAAAAAGGCATTGCCATTTGGCCATAGTCAGAGTTTAACTCTCTACTATGGTCAAGGATCCTTCTCCCTGCATCTGGCTTGATTTCAGTGCAGCTGTATCATTCTCCATGTTCTGCTGTACCTTTTCATTTCTTGTGCACTCTCTTTCCATTCTTCTGTGAAGTCTTCCATTCTCTTTTCTCTTCCATCTGTCTTTCTTCACAGGCCTATTCCAGCTGGAGATACCACTCCTTTGCTGCTGCAGATTAGCTGTGGTTGGCTGGATTTCACTCTACTTCTGAGTCATTCAGGATGGGGAAGCCATGGTGCATTTGCTGCAGACTAAAATCTTGCATCATAAATTAAAAAAACCCAAACCCTTTTGCCTTTCTGCCTTGACTCTCTCGTCACCACTTTGCTTGGACGTAACTTAGCACCTCCAAACTGTGAGCTTGGGGACCTTCCTTTACACCATGCTTAATCTCTTCCACCTCCTGAGGGAGTGACTGTTTCTATCTCTGGAGACCTGCCAGAACCTGCCCATTGGTGCACTCATTCAGACTTTAATCACATCCTGTCTAGACTTTACTGCAATTCCCACTTTTATATTCTTCCAAAATCCCTTCAGCCAGCCTTCCGTGCCAGAGGATCCTGTTGTGCAGAGGGTCTTTGTCTTTGTCTTTGTCTGGACCATCTGTAGTGTACCTCAGGCTTGTTCAACTTCTAAGTGGACAAGGGCCATGGGCTGCACCAGTGGGGGCCTGGCCTGCAGTGGGGGCCACCCCTGCTGCACCACGTGTCTTTCTGCTGCCCCTGCCCTCCCCACTCCACTGTGTGCCCGGGTGCTTCCCGTCACCCTAAACTC